ACTCTTCGTCATCAACAACGCAGTTTTGGTTTTTTTTTTTTCCTTTTTTTTTTTTACTTTATTTTTATTTTTCTTTGTTCTTTTGGCTCAATCGGTCTATCGCGATCTTTTAAAACCGTTTAAATTTTCCTTTCTTTTTTAAGTTCACTATTTTTATATTTTACCTTCTTTTTTTAACTATATTTATCTGTCATTGTCTCTTGAAAACGGTGGTTTGACTTTTTCTTTTATCCTTTGTTTGGCAATCTCTCTAGTGGAACACTCCAAAAAAAAAAAAAAAATCACATGTGAGTGCTCCATTTTTAATTATTAGTTTAATTTTTTAACAGTTACATCTGTATAAATTCGTATTAAAACTTATAGTACACAACACAAAACTGCTCTGCAGATTTAACCGTTAAAAAATTAATTAAATAGTAAAAAAATAGTGTTCCACTCGTGTTTTTTTAGATGTTCTACCATAAAGAATGCCTTCTTTTTTTTTATGTGCTTTACTTTGGTTTTTCTTTTTCTTTCTTTTTGGCTCCATTATCCACCATAGTCTTTTATTTCCAATATTCTCTTGTCATTTTCATTGTTTTTGCTCTTCATTCTCTCATAGCTTTTTTAAACCTCCAATCTCAACTTTTTCACCAGATTAATTACTTGTGATCTCTATTCAAACATTTTATGTTAAATGTTTCATTCTTTTCGTGTGCGTATGTGTGTGTTTGTGCTTTCTTGTTCCTCTAAATCGAAGAACTAAATCAACATTTTACTTAGACGTTTATGAAACATATAATTTTAACTTTTTAATTAATGAATTGCCTTTTTTCAGCTATAATAACACAATAATGCACATGAGGGTTTTAAAAAGCCAGAAAAAGGAAAAAAAAAAATTGAAAAGAAAAATCTAAGACAAAAAATCAAATTATGTCACCAATCCAAATCTTTTTTTTTTATTTTTCAAATATATTTTTTTTGTAACTATTTGTTTCTTATCAATTTTCCGTCGTAAAACTCTAACATGTTATATTCGTACTAAATTTTGTCTAAACATAATCAATATATTAATTAGGTGTATCGAAACTGTATATTTTAACAAATATAGAGTTGTTAGACCTACATATAAGTTCATTTGTAAAGCAAATGCACATCTTTACAGACTATTTGTGCTCATAATCTTTTTCTTTAGATCTTTAAGTGAATTTTTTCTTACATCTATTTTTTAAACATAATCAAAATTATAAATATTTCAATTACAATTTAATACGTGCGAACGTACCTCAATTAGTTTTTAAATAAAGAAGGTACTATAGGAATGGTGGACGTATATACTGATAAACAAAAAGTCTAAGTGGGGTAAATTTACTCAACTGATCTATTTTCCAAATTGTTTTTTTTTTCTGGGTAGAAAAAATTGATTTTCCAAGTTTATTTGACGAAAATATATAAGGGAAAAAAAAGAATAAGCTTTGATAGCAGATAGCCATCAAGCTATGTAGAAATATATTAATATTTATTTTAAATTTTAAATTTTAAAATTCTGATTGAAAAAATAAATAAATAAATTTTAAGTTTTTAAAAGGTTGTCATTTAATTATAAATAAGAAAAACGTGTTCAAAAGAAATTACACTGAAAATTACATTTCCTTTCTCTTCCCCCAAAAACTACGTTCTATGTTCTTGTGTTTTCTCACTTTTGCTTAGTGCAGAAACACATAAAAAGACTTTTCATATTCTAGAGGCGATTTGCTACCGAAATTTGGGAGCAATCTCACAAAAGAGAATGGACAAACACCGCTTTAAGAAAAGTATATTAATTACGTATTTTAAATCTTCATTATAAGATTTCTAACACTTTCTACTGCTAAAATCTTCATTATAATAATTATAGGACATTGATTGCGCAACTAGTATGTGTAAAGGGGAACATAAGAACACACATGATTTTTTAAGAAATACCATAATTTAGTATTTATATATCTGGGACATGTGATATGATTGAGAAAATGTTTGTGTGAGATTTATAGTTGTACGTTTTGGCCAAAGCTCATTTTTAGTATTCGTATTGTAAGAGCATCTTCAAGAAAACTTGTTAAATTTTAGTTAAATTTTAACTAAAATGGTTAGAAAGATATTTTAATTAATAATTTTTGGATGATTCATCTTCTTATTTTAGTTAAATATAAATTATTTCAATATTTGTTAAATTTAAAATATAAATTATTTTATCGAATATAAAAAAGAACATTTTCATTTATTAAAGTTAAAAAAATAAAATAATACAAAAAATTAAATAGTTAGCCTCTCCGTGCTAGTTGTATTTAGTTAATGTGAAAGACATTCTACAAAATAACTAATCATTTAGTTAATGATTGGAGTAAAGAAAAGCTACAAAAAAAAAAAAAAAAAAGTTAAATTACTAGTCATGTTAACTAAAAATATGATATGATTAATATGATTAAAGTTGCTTTTAAGTAGTTAGTGTAAGAAACCCTCAATCCATCTCGTAGAACGGTGACGGTGGTAATGGAGGTGTATTGTGAAACCTATCCAATCAATTTTTAAAAGGTCAGTCTAACAACTAAAATAGTCTTAAAAATTTCTAAAAAGGTAAAAGACTAGCTAAGAGTGATAGTCAGGGTGATAATCATGGGATAATAGCTCAAATGCTTTTTAACAAAAAAATAAAAAATGAAAAATGGTAGACTTTGCTATACTAGAATAATAATACAGTATAGTATTAATAAGGTAATCTTTTTATGATTATTCTACCACATGTCTCTGAAAAAGAAAGAAATTGGGAAAATATAACTTGACAATGGACTGCCAATTCAGATTAAAAAAAAAAAAAAAAAAAGAAGGGAACTTTTGTTTTTTTTGATAAAAAGACAATTTCCAACATTGGATTAACTTTATACGGTCTGATATGTATATCCATATAAATTATTTTTGTGATAAATTATATTGTTAAAAAATTAATTTGCTGATTAAAGTGCTCACCTACCCATATTTAAAAAAAAAAATCTACTCTACCAGATAAATTTCTAAAAAGGAAGAGCCAAATATAACTCTTAATATAAAAAAGAGTTTCTCCCGTGGAATCAGAAAAATAAAACTATTAGTAGTTTTATTTTTTTTAAGCGTGAGGTCTATATCAAAAATTATTTGTTATGCATATTTTTTTAATTTAATTTGATTTTGACAAGATCCAATGATCAGAAAACTAGTCATGTCGGTAAGACGGCCTACCAGAGACAGTCTCAATATAAAAATGAAAAGATTAAGAAAAAAATTACATGTTTACCATAGTTTTTGTGGATGTCTATTATTTATGTCATTCTAAATAATTGAAGTGCTATTGTGCCTTTTGTTTTCTTCATAAGAATTGAATGACACTTATTAATTTTTACTATTGTGGCATAAATAATCTCTTTTAGGATTAATTATAAAAATTATCCTTGAATTATACCCTTTATAACACTTTATTCTTTAATCTTTAAAGCGAGACATCCGTCCCCTATAAAGAATAAAATATTAACAAAAAAGCACTTTCCATTAAGGGTATAACCAAATGAAAAATAACCAAAGGAACTATAATTGTGAGATTTATTAACGGAGGAGTGATTTTATTAACATTTCATTATTCATGAGTAATGAATGTTACGTTTTAAAAATCAAAAAATAAAGTGTTATAAGGAGTATAATTTGGAGGGAATATTTATAATTAATCCTATTTTTTTATCGTCTTAAATGGAATTTTTTTATTTTTTTTGACGATTAACGCAATATTCGAATATTTTGAGGTGTTAGCTTGGTCACATATACTTCAGTTGTCGTGATGGTTGACGTTGAGGTAGTAGTATAAGTGTTGATTAATATCCACTACAAGAATGGGCTAAAAAAAAAAAAAAAGCATGAGGTGGTTATTTGTAGTGACTAATATTTGTTATAAGCTTGTGCCGTGGCAGAAGGAGACAATTAAAACAAATTATGTGGCTATTGGATAGATAACTAAGTGAGAGAATTGGACAAGTCATGCTTGTAGACCTGCTGAATAAGCTACTAGCCTTTCTATTTTGGCTAACGATTAGATTATGAGTGATATTACTATACCACATGAAATTTCATTGAGCTGCCACTTAATCACATATAGTTTGGTATTTAATTTATTATCTAGCCGCCAAGGGTTGTTTCCTATATATATATATGTAACTTTGTTTCAGGAGTTTTGCTACCAATTGAAGTGAACAGAAACGTGATAATACAACAGAGAGAAGAAGAGAAAAGAAAGGAAAGGAAAAATAAGAGAGTGAATAAAGAGTTAGGTTTTATCCTTAAAAAGTTTTGATGTAAGTATACAATTAATGTTATATATGTTAATATACGTTATTGTTAATTTGATTTAATGAGATTTGAAACTATTTTCTGAGTATAATGTAAATTTTTATGTAATTAAAGATTTAAGGATTAAATAGATAACGCGTTTAACAGGTTTTAATAATATGAGATTCACTTTATACAAGAGTGCCTTAAATGTTAAAGAAATTTATTTTGAAAGTGTATATTGATTTGTGGTTTACTTATTAAGCGTAAGTTCATATAGTTCTTGTGATCCAAATAAGTTAAGTTCTGAAATAGAAGTTTCAGTTGATTGAGTAAGGATGGTCTAAGATTTTATGATGATTTTAGAGATATTAAGATTTAAAATTTAGATATTAAGATTTAAAATTTATAATTCTGATAATTTTGTTCAAAAATTATTTCTGTTTTTTTATTTTATAGTTTCATTTTATATAAAATAACGTTTTTTTGAGCTATTTTTAATTGCTAATTTTAGAGAGGCATTACAATTAATGATATTTTAGAAAATCTAAAGGTAAAAGTTCTTAAAAAAAAAAGAAGTAGAAAAAGAAAATCATACTAGAAATTAGAGAGAGAGAGAGAGAAAAAAAGAGTTAAGGGGTAAATATATATATGGAGAGAGGGAAGGAGGGGAGAGAGAGAGAGGAGACCAAAGTGGGTCAGAAGCACACGTTGTGCTCAGGCAATTCCATGTGCCCACATGGATGATTGGAGACTTATTAGAGGACTCAAAACTCCTACAGCCAATTTGTGCCAACTATACCAAAATGCTTTACCTCTTTACAATTTACACACATTCAAGAACAAATACCAACCACAACAACAAACAATGAATCTCCTCTTCTTCTTCTTCTTCTTCTTCTAAGTTAGTTTTTTTGTTTTTGTTTTTGTTTTTCTTTCGGAGAAATTTGAGAGAGACCCAGAAAAGTATTTGATCTCTAAAGTGATTCCTTTAGAGGAAAATAGTGAAAATGAAGGAAAACAATGATGGGTTTGTGAGAGCAGATCAGATTGATCTGAAGAGCTTGGATGAGCAGCTTGAGAGGCACTTGAACAAGGTTTGGACAATGGACAACAAGAACAAGAAGAGAGAAGAGGAAGGTAATACTAATATTAATAATAATAATAATAATATCAACGATCTTCCTCCTCTTACAACCATTAGTGCCAAGACTTCTTCTTTGTTGAGCCCTTTGAAGCAGAGGCAACATTGGGAGATTGATCCCTCGAAGCTCCTCATCAAGAGTGTTATTGCACGTGGCACTTTTGGGACCGTTCATCGTGGTGTCTACGACGGCCAAGATGTCGCCGGTTTGTTTTCCTTTCCTCTATTGGTCTACCACCTTTTAATTATTTGAATCAGATGAAAGAAAAAAAAGAAAGACAATATTTTGATGTGTTTTAGTTACGAAATGTCTATTTTTTTTTTTTTTTTTTTTTTTTTTTTTTTTTTTTTTTTTTCTCTTTTCTCCTGATTACGCAATTGCCATTCTTGTTTATTTAGCGTTGCTACAGGGTTTAGGCATAACCATTTGTCCATTTTTGTTTAGTACTGAAATCTCTAATTTTTAGGATTTTTTCTCAGCACCCAACTGCCTATTTCTTGTTTATTTAGTTCTATGCCCCCTTTTGTATTTTTAAATTTTTAATGAATTTTGGTCTACTTTTATTTGACTTGTCCACTAGGCTTTGTATTGCAAATGTTGTTGATGTTGGGGATTGGGATTGATTTTGATGCTGCCTTGTAGGTAGCCCAATATTGGGTGAGGTGGACCATTAGAATTCATCTTCAAATGATGTTACAACTCACCAGAACTTGAAATTTTAACCTTTTTTTTTTAAATCTCTTTTTAGAAAGCTAAACTTTGGGTTTATATTTATTAGTTGATTTGATTTTGAGGGTCTGGTGATTCCCAATTGCGATTGTGCTCTTATGGAATCCGTGACTTCTACACGGATTCCGGATGAAGTTTGCTGTTGGCACATTAACTTTGATGATGATATGATTTTATATTTATTTTTTTCGTCAACTTTCTTGTGATCCCATCTACTAGTTGAAATATTGCGTTAAAAAATTCCAATATATATGTCACGATAGGTAAAGTTACTATTTTTTATATGTCGTTTCATCATCATCCTCATCCCCATCTCAATCCAATAAAGTATGACATTTTGCCTTTCATGTATTATATTTTATTTTCCTATCTCATTAATTTTAGATTTTGTAAAAAGGGGTTGCTTTTGCTAGTTTTGTTAACATTACTTTTTTTCTGGGATTCTTTTGTAACTTCAGTTAAATTGCTTGACTGGGGTGAAGACGGCCACAGGACGGAAGCTGAGATTGCTTCACTAAGAGCAGCTTTCACACAAGAAGTTGCTGTATGGCATAAACTTGATCACCCTAATGTTACCAAGGTCACTATCTCTATATGTAAACTTCTCTCTTTCATATATTTGCATGCCCTAAACAAAGAAACTTGGCAGGTTCATTGTCATGCTCATTAAAGTCCTGTCTGGAAATAAACTTAAATTGATTTACTATCTCACTTGGATAGGTTCTAGTTTTTATTTCGTGGAAGTATCCATTTCATGTGGAATGGGAACATTTCTAGTTGTGAGTTGCATTATGTTCAATCTATTATTGATTTAAGTTGTGACAAGAAATGGCAAGAGTGTTTAGTGTGGGAGTCTAATTCTTGCCCTGACACAGAGTTGTATTGGGGGACACTGGTTTTTGGAATTGGGTTAGAAAAAATAATGTAAGTTTGAGAGGCGAGAGGCGTGTGATTATCTTGTAATCTTCTTCTTTATCATTGTGAAATTCTGCTACAGCTAAAAGTAGATTTAGTTCACATTAAGGGCGAACCGCTATAAATCTTGTGTGCGTGCTTGTTTGCATTTCTAATATATTGTTGCATAGTTAGTTAACTATTATGGTGTCTAATCCATAACAGAGAGCACCTCACAATATTGTATAGCAGTACCATTAAACTTTAGGAGTTATTCCCTCTTCTTGCAGTTGCTAGTTTTGCCTTTGTGGTTCTGTGACATATTTGAGTTTGGGTTGAGCAATACATCACACGTTGTTTGAGTTTGCTCTAGAGGTTTCAGAGCATTTGTTATGTATGGAATTAAAACCACTTGTTCGACTGGGGCTTAAGTAAGTCGATACTAGACATTCCTCTTTGCTTGTTAGACAATGAACATTGTACTTCCATTTGGTGTTTGGCCCCTTTGATACTGTGATATAGAGCTTGGGATATTGATGAATGGCCATTATTGGACGTGTGAAACTGCATTTGTTCTTTTGAACTATGACTACTGTTTTTTGTTTGCCTGAAACATTTAACACAATTCAATTGTCTCCAACTAGTTTATGTTTCTAGGTAGATTTCTCAGCATTGTAGTCTATGTTTTTCAGTTTATAGGAGCAACAATGGGTTCATCAGAACTGCGAATACAGACTGAAAATGGTCAAATTGGCATGCCCACCAGCGTCTGTTGTGTTGTTGTGGAATATCTTCCCGGGGGTGCTCTCAAGTCTTTTCTCATAAAGAACAGGCGAAGAAAGCTAGCTTTTAAGGTTGTCCACCAGCTGGCTCTGGATCTTTCTAGAGGGTATTACTCCTCTGCTTCTCTTTTTGCTTCTTGTATCTTTTCTTCAATTTGGCAGTTAAAGAATGAAAGGTTAATTTGTGATTTTGTCCAGCAGAATACTGAAGATAATGAACTTTGCTTTGCAGCTTGAGTTATCTTCATTCACAGAAGATTGTTCACAGAGATGTAAAGACAGAGAACATGCTCTTGGACAAGACTCGCACTGTAAAAATAGCTGATTTTGGGGTTGCTCGTGTTGAGGCTTCGAATCCAAATGACATGACCGGGGAGACTGGGACACTTGGTTACATGGCTCCCGAGGTATTTCGTTCAACTATAGATAGTCATTTGATTTTTTCTGGAGCTCAGGTTGTCTATTTGTAATCTCCATAGACACTGTTGCCCCTATAAATCTTGTTCTGGACAAAAAAGATGACTTAGAAGAAGTGTGAAATGGCATATTTGCTGTGCTGTTCCATTTTGTGATGCAATGCATAATTGCCACTTCAAATTCTATATTCGTTTTTTATTATAAATTTTGGAATTTATAAAAATGAACTTTTAGTTTCTTAAATAAGGACTGGTTCTATTTTTAGTCCCCATACTATAGGCTAAACCTCATTTTGGTCTCTGACTCTTAAAACGTCTCAAAACGAATCTCTGTTCTATTAATTTGTCTTAAATTAGTTTTTCTTGTTCATTCAGCTGTTAAAATCTGGAGAAAAAACTAGATAGATCAAGGACTCGTTTTGACACGTTTTAAAAGTCAGGGACTGAAATGAGATTCAACCTATACGCCATGGACATAAAATTAGATTAACCCTTTTAATATTTTAACACTGACAATGTTGTAATTATTAAATGAGAAAATTAACAGATCAAGCAATAGCATTAAATGACAAATTTTGGCATATGCTATACGCTGTACCAAATTTCACACAATAATTTCAAAAAAAAAAAAAAAAGATTTGAAAGAAGGTAAAAGTATTCCCTTGACAGCATCTTGAATGCATCACTGAATTAATGTGCCAAATTTGAAAGAGTCCTTGTTTCATTTGATGGGGGTGGTTTTAGCTTCCCACTTAGTTATCAGAAGTGCAAAATTGAAAGAGGGTTTTTTCACTAAGAAAAGCACATCATCGAAATGAACTTTCATTTGCAGGTTCTCAATGGCAATCCATATAACAGGAAGTGCGATGTTTACAGTTTTGGCATCTGTTTATGGGAGATATACTGCTGCGACATGCCATATCCCGACCTTAGTTTCTCGGAAGTTACTTCAGCCGTGGTTCGCCAGGTACTTCTCCTATGCCAGTAACTACACATTTGTTTTGTTGCTTCAAAATTTTCAGATAAAGAGATAAACCCTTCCCATTTCCTCTTGCATTCACAGAATCTGAGACCAGACATACCGAGATGTTGCCCAAGTTCACTAGCGAACGTTATGAAGAGATGCTGGGACGCAAATCCCGACAAGCGACCAGAGATGGACGAGGTAGTTTTAATGTTGGAGGCGATCGACACATCAAAAGGCGGAGGTATGATCCCCGGTGACCAGCCTCAGGGCTGTCTCTGCTTCCGCAAGTATCGAGGGCCTTGAGGATTATTCTTCCTTCTTGGTGCTCAGATAAACAACTGGTTTAGTGGTGTATAAGTATATGATTATTCTTAGGATCGGAAACGATCCAATCTGTATCTATGATGACAAAGATTAGAGTTTGGATATGTCAGAAACAAGTGGTGAAGATTGCTGCTTTGTATACACTGAAGAAAAACCCGAAAAATACATCTCGCATTTTCTGAGGATGTAATGCCTTTGTTAGAATTTCTTTTCTTGTCCTTTTTGTTTCCTTACCACCTCTTTTGTAAGATTTTTCATCACATACAACAATACTATTGTAATCAAAGTTGACCTTACCATCTGCTCTCAAGGACTTGCTCTTTGCCTACTTGTGAAGTTCTTCTCCAAGGAATTCATTTTGCGTAATTCGAGCACCTGAAGGTGGGAATTGACATTGTTATGGGATATTACACCATTTACAATGTAAATGCCAATGTTAATGCTATATTTGTTACAAAGAAGTGTGAAAATGACAAATTCCATATTTTATCTTATTTTGTAGTTCTAAATCTATAATGCTATATCTACATCTCGTAATAATTATTTAGTTCTAAAACTTATGAAAGTAACTTTTTGAGTTGGAAACCAGCTCAAAATAAGTAGGTGATGACATGAACCCGTTCAAACTTCAAAGTGTGGGGCGGGGCGGGGATTTGTGCGGGTTGACGGGTTGGATGCACAACCCTAATATCATTACTATCACACAACGAAAGAACATTGACATTAAGAATTATTAGTCCATACTCCCATGGAATATAATTGCAGGGTAAAATATTATTACAAAAAATTAACGTGGAATCAAATGGATGGTGCAATAATATATTTTTCCTTTCCAAAAAAAAAAAAAGGAAATAGTGAAGTCCTCACGGTCCTATCCAATTTGAAACATGTTGGTTTTGAAAATGATTTTCTATTCAGAAGTGTGTATCTAGCGGATTGTGTATAATAAAAATTTAAACAAACTTTTGAGATATTTATAGATTACATTAATTTATGCATGAATAAATTAATCAAATTAATTTATTTACCTAGCGAACGATGAGGTCGATAACTTGAGTTCTTTGACCACGAACATTCCTCGCTCCAAGCTAGTTTAGAATACTCGAATCTTCCTCGTCAATTCCTTGAATCAACGAAGATGTGTGTGTGGGCACACCTGAAACAAAATGGGATTAGCAAATAAACACTCAAGTTTTCAACGTACACCAACACATGCACAACGTGGAATGTGGGAGAAAATTTTTCGTTTCCTCACTCTATAGAATTCGGCCACACTATGCTAGGGCGAGCAGAAAATTGTGTTCTCTAATTTTCTACAATCTCCTATTTATAGAGTTACAGTCAGACTCTCAAAATAAGTCTAAACTGTTGGGAATGGTGTCCTAGAAGCATGAGATGTAATAGAATATTTATTATTTATTTAATAAAAGAGTTTATTCATTACTTTTTGTGCATATATTAATGAATATTTTATGAATATCAATGAAAATTTCATGATTATTTACGTGACCTTAAATATTATATATACGTGTTATATACGAAAATATAATATTTAAAGATAATAATCAAAACGATGTTCGTAATGAATTTAATTAAAGTTCAGAATCTTTAATTAAAACATTACTAATACAGGTCATTTCCATTTAGAATGGAACAGTGTTATCCGCACTATTAATATGATGAGATATTGAATGACTGTATTACGCATAATGAGATTATGTGGAATAGGGACACAGACACTATATGAATTTCTGATTATTTTCGTTAAGTATAGAAATTCTAATTGAGTCTACCGATGGTCATATATAGAATGATCTTAATCCCGAGTTCTTAGCAAACGCCTATTTATGGATTTGTGTCTTTTGATTTACTCGGTACGAATTCGGAGATCTTGAGTCCTATTCCTTGTATTTTGGAGACATGATAAAGTGAGAAGCTAAGAATGTTATTATACGAGATAGATTTCATTCCTTCTTGAGAAAGAAGTAGATAAATAATTCTCTTGAGGGTTGATTCGGTACTTAGACTAGTAGAAGCTCTCCGATTCATGAATTTATTTTATGAATCACTGTCCATTAGAGAATCAACAGTACTCAAGGATAAAGATGTAATTAGAGAGGTTAACGGATTTCATCTATCTCTAATTATGAATTATTTATGGAGGATTGATCTATATGCAATGACTATATTAAATGGACACTTCATAGTTTAAAAGTAATTTATGTCTATAATTACGAGAGTGCAATTCCAAGTTTATAGTGGAGTAACTTTTATAATTAATAGAATTAATTAATAAATTAAAGAGTTTAATTAATTATTAATTTTATCGGAGCTTAGAATTATAGGTCCATTAGTTCCCGCGTCATCCTTGTAATTCTACAAGACACTAAGGGAAAAATGATAATTTTAGAATTACGGAATTCTAAAAGAAAACGCTTAAGGATAATTAATTGAAAATTAATTATAAATTAAATACTATGATTATTTAAGTTTAAGTTTAAATTCAAATTTTGAAACACACATGTGAAGGTGTTCACATGGTGTGAACGTACAGCACAATGTGAATCCCTTTGAGATTCAAATTGCTTGCCCTCCAAAGTTATCAAATTAACTTATTTGATAAGTTGTCCAATTTGAAATTCAAATTGATTTAAGTTTGATTTAAATTGAAATTTGAATTTAAGTTTACATTGGACTGCATGATAAAATTTTACCATATTCTTTATCTGTAAAATTGCGCCTACCACATGGAAGAATTTCCCTGTGGTGGCCGACCAATTAAGATAAGGGAGAAATGGATTTGTTTTAAAATCAAATTTGAAGTTGGAGATAATTATCAAGCTTTATCTTAGAGATAAAGATTAGACTCCTTTTAAGAGTCTGACTACTACTCTATAAAATAAGAGATTGTAGAGACACAATTTTTTGCTCTCTCCTAGCATTAGTGGCTGGTTTCTATAGAGTGTGGGAAAGAAATATTTTCTCCAAAAATTTCACGTTGTGCATGTGTTGGTGTTCGTGGAAACCTTGAGTGTTTTTTCGCTAATTCCGTTTTGTTCCAGGTGGGCCCACACACACGTCTTCGTAGATTCAAGAAATTGACGAGGAAGATTCGGGTGTTCTAAACTAGCTTGGAGTGAGGAACGTTTGAGGTCAAAGAATTCAAGATATTGTCCTAATCGGTCGCTAGGTATATAAATTAATTTGATTAATTTATTTGTGTATAAATTAATGTAATCTACAGAGTATATCAAAGTCTTATGAAAATTTTTATTATACACAATCTGCTAATCACACGCTTTCGCAGCTAAAATCGTTTCAGAAACCATCATAAACTTTATATCCAAGATAAAGCTCGACAATTATCTCCCACTTCTAATTGATTTTGAAAACAAAATTTCCTCTCTCCCTTATCCTATAGGGCTGGCCACCACAAGGATATTCCTCCCTGTGGTAGGTGCAAAAAGCAGATAGGGAAGGAGGCAAAATTCTCCTTTATCCTGTAGTCCAATTTTGACTCAAATTTAAATTCCAATTTAAGTGAAATTTAATTTAATTTAAATTTAAATTGGGCAACTTATGAAGTAACTCAGTTGGATAACTTAGAAAGCAAGCAACTAAATTCTAAAGGAATTCACACTGTGCTGGGCGTGAATTTAAATAATCACATTTTTTTAGTATATAATTAATTCTCAATTAATTATTCTTGAGCGTTCTATTTAGCATTTCATAATTCTAAAATTTCAATTTTGCCCTTAGTGTCTTGTAGGATTACAAGGACGACGCGAGGACTTATGGACATATAATTCTGAGTTTTAAAAAATTAATAATTAATTAAAACTCTTTAATTAATTAATTAATTCCAAAAGTTACTCCATTATAAACTTAGAATTGCACTCTCAAAATTATAAATATAATTTACTTCTAAACTATGAAGTGTCTATTTGATATTGCCATTACATCTAAATCAATCATCTATAAATAATTCATAATTAGAGCTATGTGAAATCTGACATTTTAACCTCTCTAATTACATATTTATCATTAAGTATCATTGATTCTCTAATGGACAGTAATTCATAAAATAAATTGATAAACCGGAGCTCCTACTAGTCTAAGTACCGAATCAATCCTCAAGAGAATTATTTATCTGCTTCTTTCTCAAGAAGGAATGGATTTCATCTCATGTATTAACATTTCCGGCTACTCACTTCATCAAGTCTGCAAAATACAAGCAATAGGATTCAACATCTCAGAATTTGAACCTAGTAAATTAAAAGACATAAATCTATAAATAAGACTCTGCTAATAACTCAGGGTTAAGATCGCTCTATATAAGTGTTGGGAATGGTGTCCTAGAAGCATGAGATATAATAAGATATTTATTATTAATTTAATAAAAGAGTTTATTCATTATTTATGTACGTATATTATTGAATATGTTATGAATATCATTGAAAATTCTGTGATTATTTATGTGACCTTAAATATTGTATATAAGTCTTATATACAAGAGGATAATATTTATGGATAATACATGTCATTAATACATGGGAATGACATGTATTATAATGTTTTAATTAAAGATTCTGAACTTTAATGAAATTCATTACGAACTTTGTTTGATTATTATCCTTAAAGATTCTCCTCTCACATATAACACGTATATATAATATTTAAGGTCACATAAATAATCACGAAATTTTCAATGATATTCATAAAATATTTAATAATATGTGCACATAAAATAATGAATAAACTCTTTTATTAATAAATAATAGATATCTTATTACATTTCAAGCTTCTAGGACACCATTCGAAACAAAACATTGTTTTGATTTTGGTTTAGATGCATCACTTGTTTGAGCAGATATTCTTAGTCCTCATAGTCTTTAGACAGAGTGCTTCACAAATTTCCTTTTGATTCATTGATTTCTTTCTATTTAAATAGGGTTGTACATGGGTTGGGTTGGTGTGGGGTAAAGTTTTTTATTAACCCGTCTCAAAGAGTGCGGGTTGCACATATTTGGCTCCAATGATGTTAGAAAAATTTCACAACCCAATGATGTTTGGGTTGAGTTGGGGCGGGACGGGGTGGGTTGGGTGGTCGAGTTCATCATTCGGAGAATCAAAGTTCAATCCAACATTTAAAGTTCATCATCAAATAGAAATAATAACTCCAACATTCAAAATTCATCATCAAATAATATTGATCATCAAATAGAAATAATACTGATAATCAAACATAACTCCAACATTCAAAGTTCATCATCAAATAGAAATAATACTGATTAGTCCATCATAAAATACATAGCAATTCAAAGTTCAATCCAACCTCAAACATGAAGCAAAGTAGTCCATCCAACATCAAACATAAAGTAAAC